CAGCAATAAACACTTATGTTTGTCACCGATTAGTAATAGAGATGCATCCATAATTAAAGTTAATCCTTAAATTAGTAGAATCCTTCTTCTTCTCCATTCTCTTCTTCCTTTTCCCTCTCCTTCTCTCGTCATAGCCTCATCGCTAGCATCTACAACACCTCATAAATCCCACTCCAACCATCGCCTCTCCTAAAACAGTCATGATTTCTTCTCTCTCTTTCTCTCTCACAGGTTTGTACTACCTTATGTCTCTCTCTCTCTCCCTTTTTATACCAAAAGAGAAGCCTATAATTGATTCAAGTAGGTATATGTCTTTTTTCTAATGTATATTATATATTTAATTTGTGTGAGTATTATGTATTACTTTTTCTTTTTCCTATTTTTTAGGTATTAGAAATTTTAACCATTTGTATATACATAATTAATTATTAGTAAATATATTAGAAAAATCAAATTTATGTTTTTTGAAATTTAATTGAGTATATTTTAATTTATCGAATTGTTTTGAATTAATTAGGATAAAATTTTGAGTTTGTAATTTGTTATACAATAATTAAAAATAAAGGATGAGTGTAATCTGTTATACAATAATTAAAAATAAAGGATGAGTCATTTCATAATTAAGTTATTGGATTTAAAATAACATATCAATTTTAAAATTAAGTGTTATTTTAACATTGATAATATCCGATTATTTGAACTTCGATTTAAAAATTGATAAATTAAATGTATGTAAAATTTGTTTGATATAAATAAATAATTAGTTGTTGTATGAATTATGATATTAATTATTTGTATACAAATTTGTTCCAACTAATTAGTATTATTACCGACAATCAATCGCAACCACTCTAGCAATTTTTCAGCCACTCTTATTCGTAAGGTAAGTTATCAAAATTTTAATTTATAATTTATGTCATAGACTAATTTTAAGTTAATTATGACAATTGATATTGTATTTATTTTACTAATGATTGTTGAAATGTGTCAAGATACATCATAGTTATCGAACTTAAGGGGTTAAAGACCCTTAAGAATTAAGGAGAAATAAGGTTGGTTCAATGTTTTATGATGGAACCATAAAGATGAGTTTGAGATTTAATTTAATGGATTATCTCGGACAAGTGCTAGTCTTAGTGTGCGGAAATTGATTTATTTGATTGCTTAAATGTGACTGTTTTGTTGATGTTTATGTGATGATGATTAATTAAAAATATTTGTATGTATTATGTTGTGTTTTTTGTGTGGGTGAAGTCTTTTGAAATTGGAAAATGTCTAATTTATAAGAAAGATTTTATCAAAATTTTGTTAGATTTTTAGTAGAATTGCTAATGAAGTAATTATGTGTTGGTTTGGATATGCAAAAGGAAAATATGAGGTCCAATCGTACATGGATGGACTTTATGCTAACCAAGGGGATTTTAAAAGAGAGTTTCATGAATGAGATTGAAGAGTTTACTACGTTCGCTGTTAATCATCCTAGATGTATGGATAGAAGAAAGATAAAGTGCCATTGTAATCATTGTAAGTGTCGAATTGTAAATATAAAGAGGTTTACATAGTTAAATACCATTTAGTGAAATTTGGTTTTAAGTTCGGATATTATGATTAGATCCATCACGGAGAAATTGAGTCAGCTTTATTTTTTATTTGTTGTCTTTATTAAACTATATGATGTGATACCGTAGCTGCAATGACTAGTGGCTTGGGGCATCGCCACCTAGCAATTTCAATTGACCAAATTTGATAGTGATGGCTATGGCCGTGACAATGGCATCGGCAATGTCTATGGTCATTGCTCGTAGGAATGCTTCGACCCCAAACATGTGCCCAACACTTCTTCATCGCCAACAACAATGCCTCCTACCCCCACTTGATCTCCCATGAGGCAATCATATGCTAGAACTAAGCCTAGTAGTAGATGTTACATCGATGGTTTCTTTTGCTCCTAGCCGCACTTCTAGGGTTGATGTTGAATAAACCATCGTTGTCGTTAGTGAAAGGTAAGTAATACGCTTGTAGTTGCAAATAGAATTATTTTTTACATGTGGTAATTAGTTTTATATTTTGGTATATTATTTGAATCATTTATTCACTTATTGATTTTTAATTTGTTGTGTTTAATAGTTTGTATACATTTAGTAAATGCTCTCATCAAATCATCATAATTTTCAAGGAGCGATTGGACCATGTCAACTTTACATGGAAGTCAATCTCACATGATACTAGAATGAGTTTAAAGTAATATTTTAATTATTTCTTTTATTATATTTAAATTAATGACATGAAACATACTAATATTAATTTTTTCTTCCTTGTAGAAGTATTTTTTTATGAGAGCAAGTTGTCACCTCGATGGCTAAGGTGGTATGGGAGCATGTGGTGCATAAACGGTATGTCAAAATGCTAATCAACCGCAAGAAAAAAGACTAACAAACCCTTTTTTGTCTTAGAACCGATGTGGGATGGATGAAGGTAGGATTGGAATGAACCCGAGTTTTAGGCTCATTTTGAGTAGATGACACGAAGGCATATGAGCGAGATAGGTGGTACCGGTGCTAAGCTATCCAAATGTACGAGACGGTTTCATCTCACGGATTGAGCACATTAAGCGGATGGTAAATTCTATTATCCATTGCGTTATAAAATAATACTTGAATTTATTGCATCTCATATTGTTTATATATATTCTTTTTAGGATAACGAGTTGGTTCGTGATCTAGATTGTTACGAGTTATTTGTAAGGACTCACAAGTGATAAGATGAATCGTTTATCGATATGCCATCCCAAATAGTTAGGCTATTTTTATTAATTACACATATGCAAATTTAATCTAAAAATTATATTTATGAATGAATATTATAACCTTTTTGATTCCGTAGGAGCGCTTTTACCAATTATATGTGTCGACTATTAGCCAACAACTCGAAGGGTGATTCATTATCTTCGGATATCGACTTATCACAAATATATCTCGATGTCGTAAGAGGAAAGAAGAAGCATAGAGTGTATGACCTCGAATCACAAACGTCATAGTTTTACTCCTACTTTGGTGTCGTCTCATCCTCTGTCACATCGTGCTTTCCTAGTCGTATGTAGCAAGATAATGAGTAGTACCAACCAAAGTTGTAGGATATACAACATGATTGTACTCGGTAGATCAAGAAGGTGGAGAACAAATACCGGTTGGAATACCGAGCATATAAGGTTTAGAGGATGAAACAGTTATTAGACGAATCACTTAGGAGTCTCGTCTCTCCATCTAACCATCTACCTCCCCCTACCTAGGAGTTGGCCTTTAATCTTGATACCTAACATCCGGAAGATAATACAACAAATGATGATGATGATGAGAACAATTTTTTTTTAATTATTTGTTTTAATTTGTTCATACACCGGATTGTATATATTTAATTTGATTTTATATTATTTAAATTTTATGTAAATAATAATTCATGTTATTATTTTAATTTTAGTTGTTGATGTTACTATGATGGAATATTTAAATATTTATTAGCGAATTTTTTTTTAAATTTCTTTATTTAACGACGGATCAACCACCGCATAATGATAAAAAAAAATAAACTCTCAACAACAAAAATTAACGACGAAACGAAATCATTAAAAATAGCAATGGATTGGTGATGCACAATAGTAATAATGCTTTTATTTTGGATTTTCGTTTCTATATAGTGATGGAAATGAAATTACTCATTGACAATTTGATTATAAATTTTATACTAACTATACGACTATTTATAATGAAATAATGACGGAAAGACGTTGAAATAGTAACAACCAAACCGTCACTAATTGATGATGGATTTTCTAACAAATTTAGCAACAAATATTTTAACAATGGTTTATATTTGTCTCTAAACCAATATAGCAACAAAAAATTTTGTTGTTATTTACTTGTTTTTTAGTGTCTCATTTTAAACCTTTTAGTTTAGTTGCATTTCCTTGAAATCCTAAACTTCTTAGTTTAATCGCTAGGTAATCGTTACCTCCTCACATGCTAATAAGTCTTTTAGTATTACTTATAGCTGCTCCGAGGAAGAAAATTTTAATCGGTAACAACAACGATCCGATTTAAGGCAAACAAATGGAAATAAGACCATCCCTGTTGAGATTTTTTTAGTATTTTGTCTTTTGCTTTGTTTGCTCGCAATCAAACGCGTGGTGTATGCTACTTGCCTAACAAGCATTTCACTTAAAAGAGTTCGGAATGAATGCATAACTAATAAATCACGAGTAAAATCGTTATGCAACAACCTTCTAAACGAAGGTATGTGACTATAATTTGAATAACCTAATGTTATCTTTTATGTCCGTTTTGATATTTGAAGATTGAATTTTTGTCCGATCGGTTTTAAGCGGGACACCTAATGAATTTATGAAAAATTATCTTTTTCTTGTGGATTTAAACTTGGATGATTATATGGGACAACAAACTATTTTTATTTTTATTTTTTTATAGTGCTTTTAAAATGAAGTTTTAATCATAACTTAGAAAGCAAACTAAGTTATTTTTTTTAAAAAAAAATTAGATTGAATAAAAATAATTTTAATCATTTAAGTAAATAATATCGAATTTGAATATAATTTTTTTTTTTGGATAATTATAACAATAAAAAATTAGTTTAGGTTTTAGTTTAGGTTTTTAAGTCTTGAATAACATGAGGATAAAAAATAAATAAAGAAAAAAAGGGTTATCAACTGAATAAAATTGTAAACAACTGGTGATAATATTTTGCAAGCTGATTATAATATAGGACGAAAGAGAATCTTTGTAAACTTCCAACATGTTTCTGTAGAAAAAGAAAGACTCAGCTTTCGGAAATTTCGTGTTTTCAACCAAGTCAGGCGAAGTCCACTAGTCAACGATGACGAATCCAATGTGGCCATAATTTAATGTGCGTTTCACTTCGTTTATGTCTGAAAGAAGGAAAAGAAAGAATCCAAAGCTGCAGATTCCACAAGAGTGAGAGAAGAAGGGATGGGTACTGTTACGCTTGGAGAGAACATGGAGATCAAAGAAGAGTTGATCAAGAAATCATGTTCAATGGCTATGAAAGCTCACAAATCTCCAGAGAGGCAATATCTTTCAAAAAAGATTAAAAGTTCATCATCTGAAGTTGTTTTTAGCTTTGCTGGATCTTGGTCTGCAAATGATTGGTTTGCTGGAAATTCCTTTGGAGAAACAACGGTGGATCTTCAGCTCTTTCCTTCTCTGAAATATATTGGTCTTGGTGTAACTGCTACTGCCAATGAAGTATTTCTCAAAAGATTCAAATCAGTCTTGGGTAATCCACAGTTCAAAATTGAGGTATCTAGATCCACTTTCTGGTCATTTCATTTTCATTTCTGTTATAATAATAATCAGTTGAGAATCCCCCCAACCCCAATTTTTATTTTATTATTATTTTTATTATTTTTTATTTTGGGGGGGGGGGGGGGGGGCGGGGGAGGATGGGGGGTGGGAATAGGTTACCATGAATATGTTTCTTTTCTTTCTATCCTTTCTTTTCTTCTCTTCAAATTATCCTTGTGGTTTTGATGCTAAGGTGTGAAGAACTTTTAGATCCTATAGCTGCATTTGTATTCTCGACAACCTTCTAAGAAGCTAATTGAATTCCATGAGAACAAATAATATTAATAAGATTTACAGCTGTTAAATGGAAACTGATCAACTGTAGAATAGAATTAACAAGAAAACATTAAAATATTTGCTGGACTAGAAAAATTAACTTCAATCTGATGCCGGTTTTCAAATTTCTTAGGTGCGAAAAGCTGTGGCAGACAGGAGGCAAGTTGTATTTACAGGCCACTCTTCAGGAGGGGCAATTGCCATACTGGCGACAGTTTGGTTCTTGGAAGAGTACAATAAACAAAGCTCCCCACTCTGTCTGACTTTTGGATCTCCCCTGGTTGGTGACCGCATTATAAACCTTGCGCTTAGGCGTGAAAACTGGTCTCGCTACTTTGTGAATTTTGTGATGAGATATGACATTGTCCCTCGAATTTCACTCTGTCCACTCTCTTCCATTGAGCAACAACTGCAACAAGTTCTTGATTACTTTGATCAAAACGCGCAACAACCCCCTCATGAAGCCCCAGCTTTCTATGAAATTGTGGTGAAAAATGCATCGTCTGTTGCTAACTATGCTGCCTGTAAGATCATGGGAAGCACGAATCCATTGCTGGAGACTGTATCAAGTTTCATTGAACTGAGTCCTTATAGGCCCTTAGGGACTTATGTCTTCTGCACAGGAAATGGAAAACTTGTTGTCATAAGTAACCCTGATGCTGTGCTACAAGTGCTGTTTTATTCCTCCCAGTTGAGCACCCAAGAAGAAGAAGCTAAGGTGACAGTTGCCCAAACAAGCCTTAGAGATCATTTGAACTACGGAAATTACCTGCAAGAGCACTTAAAAATGCCAATTGTGACTTGTTTATATCATCCTCATCCTGAAGCACTTTCATTGTCTTCGAATGTTGCAAATGTTGATCGTGGGAAGGTCGATATGGCCTTGAATGACCTAGGCTTGGTAAGTTCTTTCAACCCTGCTGAATTTGTCCTTCAATTTCATATATATGTTCACTCCTCACGGCTTGGTTAAAGTTATGCTTTTCAAATTTTAGCTGGTTATAAGTTTCAGTATAAAGGAAATAACAGTATCGTACTTGGAAATGCTCAAACTGGACATATTAGTGGACAATAAAATTGCAATTAGTTGATACCCACAATTTTTATAAATGCTCGTGTGTTTGGGATTCCAGAGTGAAAGAGCCAGACTATGTCTTCGTGCTGCTGAAGCGTTAGAGAAGCAGAAGTTGAGGAACCAGGCTACAATTGATGGAAAGCAGGAAGATATTGATAAATGTTTAGGTAAGCTAGAAGCATACAAAATTAAGTGTGTACATAAAGTTGGCTATTATGATGCCTTCAAGAGTTCAGATGAAAAGGCAGATTTCCATGCTAATGTAGAGAGGCTTGAGCTAGCAGGTATATGGGATGAAATAATAGAAATGTTGAAAAGGTATGAACTCCCTGATGAGTTTGAGGGCCGGAAGGTATGGATAGATCTTGGTACCAGATATCGTCGCATTGTTGAACCCTTGGATATTGCTAATTACTATCGACATCTCAAGAATGAAGACACAGGACCCTATCTGGGAAAGGGCAGGCCAAGTCGGTATAAATGCACCCAAAAATGGCGTGAGCATGCTGAGCAGCTGCCAAATGAAGTTCCAGGATCCTGTTTTTGGGCTGAGGTGGAGGAACTGTGCATTAAAACAGGCTGCCAGGGAACTAAAGAAAACATTTTGCACCTAAAGACCAAAGTGGATAAGTGGATTCAAGATGGGGAACTTGGTAATGATGTTCTGTTGGAGAATTCCACCTTTATGAAATTGCAGAAACAACATTTCCTGACCAACTTATCTCAGGATCTTGCATTTTAGATCTAAGGAAGGAGTTGGACGTACAGGGACTTTTAGATGCTTAACTAATGTTATTCTGAGCTTCTTGCACACCTGAGCAAGAACATTTTCTGTATTCCATATTTTACTGTACTCTGTCTACCATGTAACGTTGTGTGAAATAATATGCTTTTTTGGTCAATGATAAGGGGAGAAATGAAATATCAGCTCTCAGAACCTGCAAAACTTTCATTTACCAGTTCTGAGCTAAACCTACTGTTCATTACCTGCAACTACTCATATTGTGCTAATCCTGCAGCAGCAGCCCGTCTGCGACAGGCGAGAACTGCCAAATATGCCATACTTGATCAAGCGATCACAGTAAATAAGCTGAGAAACAATGAAATTCAAATATTAGCAATATAAGCCTTTTTTTTTTTTTTTGTTTGTCAGTTCTAGGTGGACTACAACTCTCATGACCTGCAGCAGATAACTGGGAGGAATTCGAGTCCTACAATAGGCCCTCACCAACCTTCTTTAACTTCTACTTGGAAGAAACCAAACTCAACATTATGGAGTGTTCGATTCGTAATCAATAAAATTGAAACCACAGCCAATGTTGAATATTGGAGAAAGAACTTCGTGATTCTAAAGAAGAAAGCAATTGAAATTAGCTTTCAAAGAGATCATTGGCAGCCTGATAGATACCACTGATCCATCATCATGACCATCAAGTTTAATTTAATTTCATGTAAACAATGTTTGATCAGGTGGGCAAGGACTAAAAGAAGAGAAATTAACTAATAGCAGTGATATTACAGAAATTGTTATTCTTTGGTTATATCATATAATCGCTTCCAATTTGGCTAATTCAATATGGTTATAAAAATGTGGAATTCCTAATGGGGATACTAGGATGTTCCAGCTGTATTTCCAAAAACCAAGCATATTTTTGTTCCCTTTTCATCTTTCAATCTTCTAACCTCCAATTATTGGAATGCCTGACTTGGATTAAACTTCAACTTGTCAACTTATTTCAGCCCCATTTGCCTCAAGGACCTCAAGATTTCCTTCCCAATTCATACATATATTAGGAGATGGACTAAGTAATTGGATGAATAAAATTGTGTGGTGGACAAAATATAAGAAAATAGTTCAGATAAGTATTTTTACACACATTAATCATTCACTACAATGGACAATAGATCCTCACATTCTTCTCACTTTTTTTGCAACTACTTAACTCTCTATTTTTTGCACACACAAACTTATAACCAAAGAGCCATATTTATACTAGTCTAAGGATGATTCTAGTAGATCAAAGGATAAGCACATCATAAATGCTCCCGGAAGAGCCAAAAAAACTCAGAAAAAATTCAAGATAATTCTTGAATGTTGGCAATGCTAAATGTCTTGAGAAAAATCTAGAGAAGATTTTCCTAAACTTGGTCTTTAGGCTATGGACTTGGACTTAGGTTTTGAACTTGAGTCAAATCAAGTTTAATATCTTAAATCCCCGCTTAAACTTGATTTGGTAACTTCCAACAAGAGACTCGTAACTTGCAAAACACATCCTTCTCAAGTGGTTTAGTGAGAATGTCGACTATTTGGTCTTGGGATTTCACGAACTTCAACTAGACCTCTTTTCTTGCGACACTCTCCTTGATGAAATGATATCGAGTATCTATGTACTTGCTCTTTATATGAAAGACATGATTCTTTTCTAAGGCAAGTGCTAACTTGTTATTGACATAGATCTCAATTGTCTCTTCCAATGCCATATTTATCTCATTCACCAAACTCCTTAGTCATAATGCATGACAAACACATGAAGTGACAACATCATATTTTGTTCACAAGTAGATAGTGTGACAATTGGCTACTTCTTTGAACTCTAGGTGAATATTGAATCTCCCATGAAGAATAGAAATCCACTTGTACTATTTTGACCATCCAAGTCTCCGGCCTAATCACTATCAATGTACCCAACAAGCCTAAAGTTGTTTATTTGAGTGTAGAAGATTCTATAATCTAATGTGCCTTTGATATGTCAAAGGATCCTCTTGGTAGTCTTTAGGTGAGTTATAGTGGGAGCTTCCATGAAACGGCTTATAAGTCCAACACCAAAGAGTATATCTAGTCTTATACATGTCAAGTATCTTAAACTTCCAAGAAGACTTTTAAAAAATATTAAATTTACCTTTTCTCTTTCATCGTGCTTTGACAACTTTGTTCCACACTCTACGGACATTTCTATTGGCTTGCAATTCTCCTTTTTGAACTTCTTGAGGATCACTTTTGCATAATGTTTGTGAGAGAAGAAAATTCATTCTTCTCTTTGTTTTACTTCAATTTTGAGATAATAAGACATTAGCCCAAGTATTAGTCATTTCAAACTCTCTTGTCATGGCCTTCTTAAAGTTTTTAAACAAGCTTGAATTATTGTCGGTGAAGATCAATTCATCCACATATAGACTCATGATCAAGAAGTCTCCATCCAAATATTTGGTATAGATGACATACTCGTGAGAGCACTCAAAAAATTATTTTCTTGTAAATATTTATCTAAACAGACTATACCGAGCTCTTAGTGTTTGTTTCAAAGCATAAAGAGTCTTCTTTAATCTTAGAATCTTATGCTCATTTCCTTTCCCACATAGCCCAATGGTTGCTTAATATAGACTTTCTCCTCAAGATAGCCATTTAAGAATACCGACTTGACATCTATTTGATAGATTTTCCATTTATTTTATGTTGCCAAACAAATAATAAATCTTATAGTTTATAAGGGAGTAGCATAAGCAAATACCTCATCATAGTCAATACCAACACTTTGTTAGCATCCTTTTTTCCACCAATCTTGCCTTGTATATGTTAGTGTTGGTGTCTAAGATCCAACCATGTTTGGATGGGTTAAAGTTAATATATTATTACATAATTTATTTTAATAAAGAAGTTGTTCTATTAATTTTTTATGTTTTCATGTTGATAAATTTAGTAGAATTAGGTAGAAGTCCTTATGATATGCATTTACAATAGTGATTGATCGAAATATGTGAGACAAACACTAATGTATATAAATAATATCATTAAATATCCCAAGTTATAACATTGTCAAGAATGGACATTGACAATATATGGATAGACTTGTGAGTGTTATGCTCATGCTATATGATAGTACTAAGAGATCTCACATCTATTGGTATGGTGTTGCCAAAGCAAGCATTTAGGTCATTTATGTTAGAGAACATATCACTTAGACTTGACTCGCTATGAGAACCTATTTGGTTTTAGTCTATAGGAATCTTATACAAGATGGGTACAGATGGTCCTTAGACTTGAAGTTTTCATAGTTTTCTTATTAGAGGACTTATGCATTTTGACACTTGTTTTGATGAACCCATTAATGGGTTACACGTGGGTGATTCGTTGGGTGCACTAGGAATCCAATGAAGGTAGGTGTGTGACTAAGATAAGACATGTCATTCCTTGTATACTAAAGGAGTTATCACATTACATTTCGATAATGTCCGTTCGAAAAATCTATGGCCACAGGAGGAGTACACCAATAGAGCATAGTTAGTTTACTCTAAGAGCTAAGACATTTGGAAATTGAAGAAAACTTATATGATCATAATTGAAAAAGACTAATAACCAAGTTCAAAATCACATTGTGGTAAGTTTACATGAGGACTTAACCGTATGGTAATCATGCTTATGAAAAATAATAATAGATTAACTAATCTTTCTAGAAAATTGGGTAGTCATGATGCCTTGCTAGAGGCCAATCTTGATTTATGTATCAAGAGATAAAAAATGAGTCTTTTGTTCTTGATATATTGCCAATATATCTAAGAGCTTATTGAGTTACACGCATAAGTTTAAGTCTTCACATTATAAATCGAAGCAAAGATATTAAAAAATGTTTCCAAGCTTAAAAGTTTCCTAAAATGGAAAGTTTCCTCAATTAGAAAATTTCCTAAAATGGAAAGTTTCTTATTTTAGAAATTGATTTCTTAATTTGAAAGTTAGTTTCAAATTTAGAAATAACGTAAAAGGAAAGGAGTTTTCTAATTTAGGTTAAAGGATATTTTGAAAAATTGCTTCTTAATGTGGACCCACCTAAAATAATCTAAGATTATGTATTTAGATAGTCCAAATAAATTAATTAGGTTAAAATGGTTTTGGCCCATTAAGATTTAATTAAAAGCCTTAATAAATTTTGGTGGAATGATAAATATCAACCTTATTGGATAAGGATGAATGTTTTAAAGATAATGATCAAAATTCCACATGTAAAATAACTCCTCATCCTTAGAGGATAAGGAAGCAACAACCTAGAGTCCTTTATGGACTCATTGTCGCCCCTCTCCATGTCTTTGGAGGACAAGAAAACTCTTTTATAAATATATAAGAGGGAGAGAAAATTCAGCCAACACAAGGATTTTAGGGAGGGAGAGTTTTGGCCAGCCTTTACAAATAAAAAAGGCATACGACCAAGAGAGAAAAATAAGGAGAAAATAATTTTCTCTTAAACCCTAGCAAGATATACTCTTTCCTTCTCTTCTAAGGTTGTCATAAAATTATCCGAGATTAACTTCTATAAGAAATACTAAATCGGAAAAGGTGGAGCTAGCACCCTATTGATTTTGAGTGCTTATTTGTGGATATTTGGACTATGTAGATCATCAATAGAGGTTGGACACTTGGATAACTTTTCTAAAAAACAAATTTAGATTTACGTTACAAGAGGTAATCCTTTATTTATAGCTTAATATTCATGTATGTATAGTTAGTAGATTCAACGGCTTGATCTTGGGCTCTTAGATGGAGAAAATTTTTTATTTATTTCGTACCTCCATAGGATGCATGATCCTTCAATATCTTTGCACTTCACTTTTAGCATTTCTTTTTATCTTGTAAGCCTATTTTATACTAATTATCTTGCATCCTTTAAAATTGTTATTAGCTCTCATGTGTCATTTTTCATGATGTCTTTGATTTCTTCATTCATAGCATCTCCCAATCTCTTATTTTCCATTGCTTCTTGAAAGTTGATAGGCTCATAATCCGTAAAAAGACAAAAAAATTAAGTTGATCGTTTAGAATTTCAGTTATTTCATAAATTTCTTTTAAACTTCTATATCGATGGGTCTTCTCATATTCACTCCCACTTAAACTTGATCTCGAATTATGGAGGATGAAACATTTTAACTTGGTGATTGAATAGGAGATGAATACAAAATGGCAATCTCTTTGTGTGCTTGTCTTTATTTCCCTTTTATCTTCAAAGACTATGAAAAATTCATAATCTTCATCTTCTTTGACACTCCAATAGCATGATGCTTTTTCATTAAACTCAACATCTCTACTTACAATGACCTTATCATTAATTGGATTGTAGAGCTTATATCCTTTGGAGCATTTATTGTAGTCGATGAATACTAGCTTTTGACTTTTATCATCTTGTTTGGAACAAACCGCATCTAGTTTGCATGCATAGGCAATGCTTCCAAAGACCTATAGGTGCTTTACATTTGGCTTTCTCCCATTCCAAGCTTATAGAGGTGTCTTGTTAGATAGACTCTTGGAGGCATACCTATTAGACATATATACTAAACAATCGACTCCTTCGAGTGTAAAATTCTCTAGACATTATCTTACTCTTTAACATGCTTCGAGCCATGTTAAGAATTTTTAAATTCTTTCTTTTT